GCTGGGTACATATAGGGTGGGCAGGAGTGCGTTATCGCACGGGCAACGACTGGTCACCAGCACACATCCATCGCACACGGAACGAAGTAGCTCTGCTCTTTACTGCACGAAATGATACTGTCACATACTTGTGGAAAAGCCAAGTTGCAGAAAATAGTGGATCAGTCAGGGTCCATCTAAGAAGCAGAACCAGTAGAAGAGAAGTAGCCAGCAGTTGTGGGGGCTGCGAAGCAAGCTCCAAGTCCTCAGAGCAATGACTCAGGAGGACAAGAGCACCAGCTGATGCTTTTCCACAGGCTGGAGCCTTACTGAAGCCTTCGTTTTTAAAGGCCTTATAACTGATTACGTCAGGCCCACCAGGACACTCTGTGTTTGATGGACTTAAAGTCACTTGATTAGGTGCTTTAATCACATCTGCAAAATCACATCACAGCAGTATTTGGGTTAGTGTCTTCTAAGTATTAGGTGGGTGTGTGAGCTATAAACGGCCACCACTTCCTTCCTTCCTCATAGCCTGTAAGGAATCTACCTGAAAAGAAATTCTGAGAGTTCAGCCCAGTGAGTGGACACACCAAAAGTCATTGCACACACTAGTCGGATAGTCCTGTTTGTGAAAACATGGACACACATATGCTGAACATTTGAAATGCAGAGAAAAAGATCTGGAATGAACTACAAACTTATCAGGTGTATGTCTGGGAGTAAGATGAGAATGGGGGATAAGGGAAGAGAAGGGGTTTTGTTTCCCATTTTTGTGTTGAGATTTTGTTGTTTTATTACAAATATGTATTATTTCAGTAATTTAACCAAAGTAAAGAAAATGTTTTATGTATTTATTTAGTTAGAGAGAGAGCACGTGAGCATGGGTAGAGACAGAGGGAGAGAGAGCATCCCAAGGAGACTCCCCGCTGAGCACACCACCCTGAGATCATGACCTGAGCTGAAACCAAGAGCCGGGCGTTCAACCACTGAGCCACTCAGATGCCCCTAAAAAATGTTTTATAAAATCTTGGGTAGAGAAGGCCTTTCTAATCATAACAGGACAAGATAATTTTGGCCATAGGTGACATGTATTTTTCATATTAAAAACCTCATAACTGGGGCACCTAGGTGGCTCAGTTGTTAAGCGTCTGGCTTCGGCTCAGGTCATGATCCCAGGGTCCTGGGATCGAGCCCAGCAAGGAGCCTGCTTCTCCCTCCCCCACTCCCCCTGCTTGTGTTCCCTCTCTCGCTGTGTCTCTCTCTGTCAAATAAATAAATAAAATCTTAAAAAAAGAAAACCCCTCATAACTAAAAGCAAATAAAGAACTGGAAAAAAATATTTGTAATTCACTTCCTCAATTCTAAGTTACCCTCTCATCTCTCCCATGCTCACCCGCCACCAAAAAACTGGAGGTTTGTATCACAATGGAAGAAACAGTAAGGGAAAGGGATCGGAGCTCAACAGAAGCTTACAAACCCAATAAAAACAGGTACAAGAGCTTACAGGGAATTTACTCATTAAAAGGCCGAGAAACGTAAAAGAAGAGGCGCCTGGGGGGCTCAGTGGTTGGGCATCTGCCTTTGGCTCGGGTCATGGTCCTGGGGTCCTGGGGTCCTGGGATCGAGCCCTGCGTCAGGCTCCCTGCTCGACGGGAAGGCTGATTCTCCCTCTCCCACTCTCTCTGTGTTCCCTCTCTCGCTGTGTCTCTGTCAAATAAATAAATAAAATCTTAAAAAAAAAAAAAGAAATGTAAATGAAAACAAGAGTGGTATTTTTCATGATGAATCAAATGGATTAAAAACAGTCCACCCCGGGACGCCTGGGTGGCTCAGTCGGTTAAGCGTCTGCCTTTGGCTCAGGTCATGGTCCCAGGGTCCTGGGATCGAGTCCCGCATCAGGCTCCCTGCTCGGCGGAAAGCCTGCTTCTCTCTCTGCCTCTGCCTCTCTCTCATGAATAAATAAAATCTTTAAATAAAAAATAAAAATAAAAAGAGTCCCCCCCACTCCCAGTACCCCTGACAGGGAATGTCCACCTCAGCCCCAAGGGAGTCACATGGACAAAAGCAAATGTGTGCATGTCTGCTGTGGGGTCAACAGTAACAGTGAAAATGTGGGGAAAGACAGACGAGCGACAGCAGGGGGCTGCTAAGTAAACCACACAAAATGGCCGGTGCATGGGCAGCATCCAACCAGCAGGTACACAGTTCTTAGCAAAGTATACCCCAGTTTGTCAAATATTCACATGTGTGCACTAGAAAGAAGCTAAGAGGAGTGGCTGGGTGGCTCATGTCATGACCTTGGAGTCCTGGGATCGAGCCCCATGTCACTCCCTACTCAGCTAGGAGTCTGCTTGAGATTCTGTCCCTCGGCCTCTGCCCCTCCCCCTGCTCTCTCTTTTTAAAGTCCTTTAAAAAGAGGTGCCTGGGTGGTTCCGTCGTTAAGCGTCTGCCCTCGGCTCAGGTCATGATCCCAGGGTCCTGGGATCGAGCCCCACATCGGGCTCCCTGCTCCGCGGGAAGCCTGCTTCTCCCTCTCCCACTCCCCCTGCTTGCGTTCCCTCTCTCGCTGTCTCTCTCTCTGTCAAATAAATAAAATCTTAAAAAAAAATAAAATCTTCAAAAATAAAATAAAATCCTTAAAAAACAAGAGGCTAAGAAAACGCATCAAACACCCTGTGATCTCTGAAGATTGTGACAAAGATCAGTTTTTTACATTTTTTTTTTAAAGATTTTTATTTTAGAAAGAGAGAGTGCATGAGTGGGGAGAGGAGCAGAGGGAGAAAGACAAGTTGAATCCACACTGAGTGGGGAGCCAGACTCGGGGCTCGATCCCACAACCCCAAGATTATGACCTGAGCAGAAATGAAGTCAGATGCTGTAACTGACTGAGCCACCAGGCATCCTTACATTTCTTTCGTTCTTTTTTTTTTTAAGATTTTATTTGTCAGAGAGAGATAGAGAGAAAGTGCGCGCACCAGCAGGGGGAGGGGCAGAGGGAGAAGCTGGCTCCCGCTAAGCAGGGAGCCCGATGCGGGACTCATGACCTGAGCTGAAGGCAGAGGCTTTAACTGACTGAGCCACCCAGGTGCCCCATCTACATTTCTTTTTTTATAAGTTTTTGCATTTCCCAAATGCCCTACAAAAAATTTACACTGAGGGAAAAAATGTTGATCAGAAAATACACATCCTCTGTTCAGGTCTTTCAGCTCTGCTTGGGACTGGTGGCTTCCTTTCTGGTACACCTTTTCTAAGACGCTGCAGATGCCTGCCAGCATTCTCAGGGTTCCTGGGGTTGGGGGCTGATGAAGAAGAGGGGTCACTAAGAGCCCCCCAGGAGGCTCCTCCCCAGTGAGCACCTTCTGCTGACAGGCCTGGTGAAGGCAGATCACACTCGGCTTGGCTGGGGCTCCCGAGACCCTGCCCAGGAGCCTGCAGACCCTGCTCCCAAGTCCCGGTTTTAGCCACCACTACCCTCCAGCCTTGCCCTGGCTTGCTGACAAACCCTTGGTCCACCTGGGAATCCCAAACATCCCCAGGCCAGACGCTGTGTGGATTCTAGTCCGGCCCCTCTCCTTCCCACTAGGTGGCCGGGGCCCCTGCAAACAGGGTCTGATCTTCATCAGTCCTGATAACAAAAGAACAACCAAGAAAAAGCCAACATATCTTTTCCTTTTTTTTTTTTTCTGATCAAAACTCAGTATTTGGAAAACAGGTGAGTGGAAGAAGAAAACAAAACCCACCCACAATCCCCATGTGATTTATTGAAGCCCGTGTGTAAATGCTGCTCTGTTGGCGGACATCCAGGCTTGACAGTCACGGGGAGTCCCCACTCTGGCTCAGCCTTCCTCACTGTCCTTCCCTCAGCCTGCAGGCTGCTTGACCACAGCCCCAGCCCTGTCCCTTCTCCATCCAAGAGAAATGCCCTGCTGCACAGCCAAACGGGGAGGATTGACAGCTTTCTGCCTTGGCGCCTCCCCCAGATAGGTTCTCTGCCTTTTTATCGTTGTTGTTTAGAGAAGGAGAGAATCTCCTCCAGATTCCACGCCCAGTGCAGAGCCTGACGCAGGACTCGATCTCACGACACTGAGATCATGACTTGAGCCACAATCAAGTCAGACACTCAACCAACAGAGCCACACAGACACCCCGGGTTCTCTTTATCAACTCAACGGGGAGCCCAGTGGGGAAACCGTCTGTCTTTCCCACCGTCCTGGGCACACTCTGGGCCATGGACTTTCTGGTGCTGGATGAGGGCGGACAGCCGGCTGCAGGCCCTCCCGCAGGCCTGGCACCTGTACGGCCTGTCCCCGCTGTGGAGCCGGTAGTGCTCGTTCAGTGTGTAGCTCCTGCGGAAAGCCTTGCCACATTCTGTGCAGGCAAAGGGCTTCTCCTTGGTGTGGGTCTTCTGGTGCAGCGTGAGGTTGGACTTCCGGCTGAAGGCTTTGCCACATTCCCTGCACTCGAACGGCTTCTCACCCGTATGCAGCCTCTGGTGCAGGAGGAGCAAGGAGTTGTGTTTGAAGGGCTTCTGGCACACGGAGCACTGGTAGAGCCTGTCCCCCGAGGCAGTCTTCTGTGCCGCGCTGAGCAGGGGCTTCTGACAGCCGCTGTCTTCTTGGGGGCTCTCCCGGGCATGCAGTCTGTGGTGCTTGAGCAGTGAGGACCCACGGATGAAGCGCTGCCCGCACTGCAGACACGTGTGAGGCCTCTCCCCGCTGTGGATGCGGCAGTGCTCATTGAGGGTGAACCTGCGGCCGAAGGCCTTCCCGCACTCGCCGCACTGGTACGGCTTCTCCCCCGTGTGAAACTTCTGGTGCTGCCAGAGCCGGGAGCTGCGGCCGAAGGCCTTCCCGCACTCGGTGCACTGGTAGGGCTTCTCCCGGGTGTGGACTCTGTGGTGCGCTGTCAGCTGAGTGCTCTGCCGGAAGGCCTTCCCGCACTCGCTGCACTGGTACGGCTTCTCCTCCGTGTGGATCAGCTGGTGTCTCAGGAGGATTGAGCTCTGCTTGAAGGCCTTGCCGCACTCGGTGCACTGGTAGGGCTTGGCCCCCGTGTGGATGACCTGGTGCCTGAGCAGCAGTGAGTTGTACTTGAAGGCCTTGCCGCAGGCACACCGGTACGCCCTCTCCCCTACAGCATCCGCTGGGCTCCAGCCTCGCTGTTTCTCCTCCAGGGCCGCGGGGGACGTGCTAAGGTCCCCACCTGGGCTGCCTGTCTTGGGGTTGAGGGGTCGTTTATCTGACCCATCCTCAGGACTGCCATTCCGTTCAGGAAACTTGGGTCTTCCCCCAGGGAGGTGCCCCCAAACTGTGCCCAGTGGTCCTAACTGCTTAGAGGACACTCTCCTCAGACAAGATTCCTTGATCGCAGCCTGCATCCTAGAATCTGGAAGAATGAACAGAAAATGGAAAGATGACCTAGCCTCTACATTCATTAAAGAAACTCTGAGATTTGAAGACAGAATCTTTATGTCACAGTAGGGAGGTTTGGGAACTTCTTCCAAGAATCTGTAAAATCACGATTTGTGAAAGAAAGAGGACCTAAAGAAAGGTTAATAAGGGCTTAAGCACTGTGGGAAGTTGGCTTGGGAGAGGAGCTCAAGAAAGGGGAGGAACATCAGGGGGAGAAGGGAGGGCACAGGCTTGGTCCAAAGGACTGTGAGGAGAGCAGGCTTGATGCAGGAGTGAGACCTGCAGGGTGTGGGGTGCTGCTATTCTTCACTCCCCTCTTCCTCTGAGCACTCACCCACAGTTCACTCACTTAGCAGACACCTCAGGCTCCTGTCCAAGCAGGACCCATGGACTGCAGGCTGCCTCTCCTCCCTTTCTGCGGCCTCTACAGTCCCAAGCTCAGGCCCTGGTTTGTGAGCCATGGGGAGCTGGGAGAACCAAAGTAGCTCAAGGGTCTTCCCTGCTGGGTCCTCCTCACACACCCACTGCCCCCACAGATCTGGCCCGACATCTCAGAGGACTGGGAAGGACATTCATGCACTTGGGTTCCTTGCACGAGTTAGTCCTGGGTGACCTTGGATGACAACCAAGGCGTTTAGCAGGAAATTTGGCCCTCTGTGAGGAGCTAAATGTACAGCCTTCCCACTGCCCAAGCACCAGGGGGCTACAAAAAGTTGTGTGAAGGCCAGGCCTTGCTGTGCCTTGCACTTACCTGGGCATAGGCTGGCTGTGGACCCTTGCTCCTCAGTCCCCTGCAGAATCAAAGCCCCTGGCTCCTCCCCTTGCTCCAAGAGGGAGATCAGTGCTGGTTTAGCAACAAGAAAGCCTACAAGCAGGGAGGAGAGCATCACGTGTCAGGGAGCAGAAGGGTGCCCAGCTGTGGGGCTGGAGGCCTCAGGGGACACAAGGTGCTTGGAATGGATTGGGAACCCTACTTTCCCAGGAGTGGGGCAGTGGGGTGGCCATGGAGAGATGGGGGTGACCCCCCAGCTTCCCCACCAAACACGTTGGACTTTGAATCTGGAAAGGAACCAACTCCTCCAAGAGGCCATGGAAGAGGCAGGGTTGCCCTTGAGCCCAGCCCTGGGATGGATGGGGAAGCCTCACCCAGCGAGGCCATGTGCCTGTAGTTCTCCAGCATCACATCCCTGTACAGCGCCCGCTGGTCGGGGGCCAGGCAACTCCATTCTATCCTTGTGAAGTACACGGCCACGTCCTCAAACACAATGGCCTCCTGCAACCACAAACCCTGCTGTCTGGGGCTATCTGGGCAGGAGATGCAGAGACTGTGTCAGGGATATTCAGGGCACCTGTTCAGCTCTGGGAGTCAAGGCCTCTGTCTACGTGGTCACTGGTGTATCCCCAAGGCCTGGCACAGAGGGGACACCTCAACACTCCCCAAGGGAAGTGGAGCAGTCCTATTGCCCCAAAGCCGTGGGAGGTGTGGGGGTCTCAACCTTGGCCTCGTACCGCTCCATAGGCTAACAGGGATCTGGGGAGGGGGGTACCCTTGAGATGTTGGTGGTCGAGCCTCTAAACAGGCGGGGAGTGTTTCTGTCCTCTGCTTCTCTGATCTGAGGAGAGAAGCCAAAGGCTGTGTGCATGAAGAAGGGCTGAACATTCGCACCAGGATGGAGGCAGGTGCTGGGGAGGGACAGGGAACCTGACCTTGCTGGCTGACACTGGAAGCTCAAGGGCTGCAGATCCTGGGCAGCCCGCTTCCACCCAAAGCCTCAGGAAGGAGTTGACAGAGCACTGTGAAGTTTCACAGGGAGGGGGCAGACCTTTGGCTTACAGAATCCATCCTGTGACTCACCTGCAGGAATGGGAGCTACATGAGTGGGCCTAGGGACCCCTGGGAAGGTGCTCAGGGCCAAAAAGCTGAGGGCTGGGGATGAAGGCAGCCAAAAGGCCCAAAGAGGGCACTCACCTGGAGTGTGGGTGTCACAAGTGGCCCCGCCATTCCAGGGTCCCCGTTAGGGGCAGAGCAGGCGCTGGGGACAGTGAGTGGTGAGTGGAAGGAGCCCAGGCCCAAGTACCATCCACCCCTGTCCGTCTCCCCAGAAGGACCACCCAGAAAGAGAAGAGACCGGAAAGGGTGAGACATGGGGCAAACACACCTGGTCAGCCCAGACGATGCCCTCACATCCCAAGAAGCCACACCCTGAGACCTGCTCACCCACACGGCTCCACCCCTCACTCCTGCTTTTCCCAGGGATGTCTTCTCGGACCAACCTATATAAAATGCCACCCCCACCCCAGAATTCCTTCCCTACCCTCACTCCCTGTTGTATTTTTCTTCATAGCACCTCTGTTATCTGACATAATGCAGTCAACTTACTTGCTTCTTCTCCGCCTTCCCCCATGAGATCAGACTTGCAGTCTGGTTATTCATGCTGTAACCCCAGAGCCTGGCGGAGGGCCTGACACACAGCATGTGCTCAGCAAGGGTCTGTGGAATGAACAGGGGATGATTCTGCAACCAGTGAGATCACGTTGTGGAACATCAGAAAACGTTCTTGCTGCGTTACTATGTGAAACAAGCAGACTATACACAGCACACATCCCAGCACCCTAACCTTAGTTCCTTTCTGGGTGATTCTCATTTTCCTTCTTTCCATTTTTCTGATTTCTCCAAGACTTACTGCTTATTTACAAATGTGTGTTGCAGTTGAAGAAAAGTTATTTAAAAACCAATAAATACAATTCTGTTCAGAGTAGGCCCTGGTCTCCATGTCCCTTCCTCAATGGATACTTGAGCTCTTGTGGTTGGGTAGAGGTCTCTGCAGTACCCTTTTCTGTGGGGCTTGAGCCTCCCAAATAGCTGCCACTTTGTAAAGCAGGCATCAGTTAACAGAATCCTGTAGTTATGATGCTATGGCACAGTTAGCAGGAGAGCCCTTTAAACCTGGGAGTGTAACAGGCTACACACGACAATCTGAGAGGCGTGGTGGGTCACCTGTGCCCGCACAGCATTAACTGCAAATGCAAAGATCAGCGCCACACCACCACCCACCGGGCTGTCTGTTCAGGGCAGTCTGTGGGCAGGGCCTGTGGGGGCTATTGCTGCTGCCCCTGCTGACAGAGCTACTGTCCTCCTCACCCCAACGAGGCAGCCAGAGCCCCTAGAGAGGATGAGCAGCTCAGGAGAAGACCTGGCCCTCAACTTCACAGTTAGGAGGGGGAGTTACCATGCTGCTCTTTGTTTGCTCATATCTGGGGAATGCATGTCCTCAGGGAAGGGCCCTCTGGTTAGAGGGGAAAAAAAAAAACAAACCCTAAGTTTGGTCCTAACTTTGGAAACAGGGAGTAAGTCGTTCATCAGAGAAAAACAGTGCGGAGTTGAAAAAAGTGGGGCAGGGGATATAATAACCAACAGACAGCTTTCCGCTCAGAGTCCTGAGAGAAAATACCAAGGGGAGGGGAGTGCGAACACAGATGGGGGGTCAGGGAAGCCTTCCTGGAGGGACTGCACTTAACTGGGGCCTGGAGGACCAGCAGATGCCATTCCCTCCGATTTAGAATAAAACCTCTGTTTCTCAGGGGCCTGGGGCACCGTGCCCTCCACCCACCCCCTTGCTTACTACACTGCAGCCAGACTGGTGTCTCTCTGTTACTCCAACGAGCCCAGGCCATTCTCGTGCACTTCCCTTCGCCTACAAGGGATTAGCAAGGCTTCTCAGCCATCAGGTTTCAGTTCATACGGTAACTTCTGGGAGAGACTTCATCTCCCACAAGCCTATCCTCTTGGCTCATCTTCTTCAGGGTCCTTGCAATGATAAAAACTACTTGCTTACTTGTTTGTTGCCCCTCTTACATGAATGCCTCACTTCTGTTACACTACAAGCTCCCTGAAGCCAGGGACGCTGCCCGTCCACGGCGGGATCCCCAGCACGAGCAGAGTCCTCTGGACACGGTAAGTGCTCCATGCTGCCTACGGAATGCCTGCGGTCCAATCAACGACGCAATCCCCGGGGAGAGCCCGCGCACTGGGCCATAGCCAGCCAGCACCTGCTGCTCCCGACCGGGTGCGCTCCGGCAACCGCAGGCGTGAGGACGAGGGGGGCGCAACCCGGGCAGAAGTGGTCCGCCCGGGCGTCCCACCCCTGCAGCCTCAGCTTTGCGCAGTCACCCAGGCTCCGGGGACGCAAGGCTCGGGACCCGCCTGCACGCCCCCCGCCCCACTCTGGGGGGAACGGGAATCCGGCCCCTCCCTAAGGCCCAGAACCGAAGGAAAAGCGCCGGCTGCGGGTCAGCAGCCCCTGCGGTGCTCGGCGCGGCCTCTCTGCGGACCACAGCCTCTGCCAGGCCGGGATCGGAGAACCGCACTCACCTTACTCCGCTCCGCGCCCCGCGGCCAGAGCCTACTCACCCCGGGCCTCCATCCGGGACCGCGTGGGGACGGGCGCCGGGGCGCAGGCAGTCCGCTTCCGGCCCGCCCCCGGAAACGGGCCGCAGCGCCGCTCTAGGAGGCTTGGAGGACCGCGCGCCTCGATGGGCGCCCTCTGGCTTCTGGGGCGGGAGGCAGGTAACGGGGAGGGCTGCTGAGAGTGGGGTGCTACTCTGGAGCGGATCCCGTGGGAACCCCCAGGTCGGAGGGTCGAGCCCGCTGCTGGAGTCAGGGGTCCCGGCGAAGGACTCCCCAACCTGAGAACCGACTCATTCACGCGGACCTCGAGAAAGGCCAGAGAAGAAGTCGAACATCATTCCAGGCAACCGGGTTCTGAGGCTAACCCCCTCCCTTTGGACTTTTTATGTTTAAATAATTATAACATGACAGCAAGTTGCAAAGGCAGTATAGGGAGGTCCCGTGTATCCTTCACCCTCTTCCCCACATTTTGAAAAGGCTCCTCCACGACCGTGTCTTTCAAGCTTTTCTGAGACTCACAGTTAGATAAAAATGCCTCACAGGGCGCCCGGGTGGCTCAGTCGTTGAGCGTCTGCCTTCGGCTCGGGTCGTGATCCCAGGGTCCTGGGGTCGAGCCCCGCATCGGGCTCCCTGCTCGGCGGGAAGCCTGCTTCTCCCTCTGCTTCTGTCTCCCTCTCTCTCATAAATAAATAAATAAAATCTTAAAAATAAATAAAAATGCTTTACAGTGTGACCCGTCACACGCATTAAATCTATGTTTATGGATAAATGCTTACACATAGTAATTTTTAAAAACTTTAACAAAGCTATTTACTCATGATATCTCAAATGTTTTCCTTTGAAAGTGCAGAAGCCAAGACTAACCCTTTTTGAAGAGGGAGGGACGTTAGCACAATAGCGGGAATCTATGAGGCTGCGAAGGAGGCATCATACAAACTACATCATCTGAAAATCGGACATTAAATTTAGATGTGGTTAAATAGTTTAAACAAATGTGTTTGGAAACTAAATAGCAACCTACTAAATAGCTCTGGGAGAAAGAGAAAATCATAAAGGGCTCTGTAACAGACCTGGAATTGAAAGAGAATGACAACACTTTGCAGGATACTTAGAAAAATTAATATGTATATATATATATATGTGCTTGCATGTATACATTATATATATGTGTGTGTGTGTGCTTCTGTATATGTTAATAGAAGCATACAGGCATACCTTGGAGATATTGCAAGTTCGGTTCCAGATCACTGCAATAAAGTGAATATGGCAATAAAACAAATCAAATGAATTTTTTGGTTGCCCAGTGCATATAAAGGTTATGTTTAGAGGGGTGCCTGGGTAGCGTGGTCGGTTAAGCTTACACTCTTGATTTTGGCTCACGTCATGATCTCAGGGTCCCAAGATCCAGTCCTGTATGGGGCTGCTTAAGATTCTCTCCCTTTCTGAGCACATGGGTGGCTCAGTTGGTTGAGGGTACAACTTTCTCTCTCTTTTTTTAAGATTTTTGTTTATTTGCGAGAGAATGAGAGACAGAGAGCATGAGAAGCAGACTCCCCGCTGAGCAGGGAGCCCGATGCAGGACTCGATCCCGGGACTCCAGGATCATGACCTGAGCCGAAGGCAGTCGCTTAACCAACTGAGCCACCCAGACGCCCCTAGCATACAACTCTTGATTTTGGCTCAGGTCATGATCTCATGGTCCCGGGTTTGAGCCCCACATTAGGCTCTGCCCTCAACACAGTCTGCTGGAGACTATCTCCCTCTCCCTCTGCTCCTCACCCTGCTCTTGCTCTCTCTCTCTAAAATAAAGAAAATATTTTAAAAAAATTATCTCCCTCTCCATTTGCACCCTGCCCCTTCTAGTGCTCTCTCTTTCTCAAAACAAAAAGATCTTTGGGGAGCTTGGGTGGTGCAGTTGGTTGAGTATCCAACTCTTGGCTTTGGCTCAGAACATGAGCCCTGGGTTGTGGGATCGAGCCCCCTCTGCGTGGAGTGGGCTTGAGACTCTCTCTCCTTTGATTCCCCCCCCCACATGCACTCTCTCTTTCTCAAAAAAATAATCTTTTTAAAAAAGTTATGTTTATGCGGTAGCCTATTAAGTGTGCAATAGCATTATATCTAAAAAAGCAACATACACACTTTATTTTTTTTTAAGATTTATTTATTTGTTTATTTGACAGAGAGATACACAGCGAGACAGGGAACACAAGCAGGGGGAGTGGGAGAGGGAGAAGCAGGCTCCCCACTGAGCAGGGAGCCCAATGTGGGGCTCGATCCCAGGACCCCGGGATCATGACCTGAGCCGAAGGCAGACGCTTAAGGACTCAGCCACCCAGGTGCCCCAACATACACACTTTAATTTTAAAATATTTTATTGCTGGGACACCAGGGAGGCTTAGTTAGTTGAGTGTCTGCCTTCCACATGGGTCATGATCCCCTCGCTCTGCCTGCTACTTACCCTGCTTGAGCTCTCTCTCTCTGACAAATAAATAAAATCTTTAAAAAATATCTTATTGCTAAAAAAGGCAAATCATTATCTGAGCTTTCAGCGAGTTCAATTACTGGTCACAGATCACCATAACAAATACAATAATAATGAAAAAGTTTAAAACATTTTAAGAATTGGGACACTTGGGTGGCTCAGTCATTAAGCGTCTGCCTTCAATCCTGGGGGTCATGGGGTCGAGGGCCCCCCCGAATTGGGCTCCCTGCTCAGCGGGGAGCCTGCTTCTCCTTCTCTTGTCAAAGAAATAAATAGATAAATAAATAAATAAAATCTTTAAAAAAATTTTTTTAAGAATTATCAAAATGTAGGGGCGCCTGGGTGGCTCAGTCAGTTAAGCATCTGCCTTCGGCTCAGGTCATGATCTCAGGGTCCTGGGTCTGAGTCCTGCATCGGGCTCCCTGCTCAGCGGGGAGTCTGCTTCTCCCTCTCCTTCTGCCCCTCCCCCTGCTCTTGTGCTCTCACTCTCAAATAAATTTTTAAAAATCTTTAAAAAAAAAGAATTATCAAAATGTGACAGATGCAAATGAGCAAATGCTATTGGAAATAGGGCACCAATAGACTTGCTCAACTCAGCGTTGCCACAAACCTTTAATTTATAAGAAACACAGTATCTGCAAAGCACAATAAAACAAGCTATGCCTGTTTACATACATATATAACCTTCCAGCATATATATTCAGCTACTAAAAGCATGCATGAAGAAGTGATTTATCTTTTTTCACTTAAATTTTGTTAGGTTTGTCTCAACATGTATATTTTCCTTCATTTTTTGTTTTGCTTTGTATATTTATATGTAAGAATTTCCTTTTACTCCAACTTTACCCCAGGTATTAGCTGGGCTCCCCTTTTCTGCATAGAGATACAGGCTTGGATACCACCCCTCCCATAGCTTTTGGACATCCCAGGAATTTTTACCGGTTTTCATGCACATTTTTAAAAAAAAAACATCATTTTTAAAAGTAGATACATAGAAAGGAATTACAAATACCTTCAGCATAGTGCACGATGATTTTTCACAAAGTACCCTATGAAACTAGCACCCATTTCAACAAGCTGATTTTGCCTGGAGACCTCAAAGCCTTGTGGGGCTCTCTTCTGGTCACACTCAGATGACCTTTCCTTTTTTTTTTTTTTAAAGATTTTATTTATTTATTTGACAGAGAGAGACACAGCAAGAGAGGGAATACAAGCAGGGGGAGTGGGAGAGGGAGAAGCAGGCTTCCGCCGAGTAGGGAGCCCGATGCAGGGCTCGATCCCAGGACCCTGGGACCATGACCTGAGCCGAAGGCAGATGCTTAACGACTGAGCCACCCAGGTGCCCCCAGATGACCTTTCCTGGTTGGTGCCCAAGTGTAGCCACTCTGACTTCCTTAGCCCTGATGATTTTTGTAGGCGCACTTTATGTCCTTTGTGTATATTCACTGATTTAACTCACAATAACCCTATGAAAGATAGTATTATTGTTCTCATATAAAAGATGACGAATAGTGTTCTGCTAAGGGCAACTGATGCTGGGCATGGGGAGTCAAGTGGAACAAGACAGGAGAGGGTCATGGGCACACATGTTTATACCAAATTATTCTTCTGTGTACATAGCAAGAAACATTTTCTTTTTAAATAGCCTCCATGCCCAATTTGGGGCTTGAACTCATGACCCTGAGATTCAGAGTTGCATGCTCTACCCTCTGAGCCAGCCAGGCACCGACCCCTCTTTTTTAAAAAACAACTTTAAAAGGAAACAAAGAATTTCTTTTTCTTTCTTTCCCTTTCTTCCTTCCTTCCTTCCTTCCTTCCTTCCTTCCTTCCTTCCTTCCTTCCTTCCTTCCTTCCTACCTTCCTTCCTTCCTTCCTTCTTCTTTGTTTCTTTCAGAGAGAAAGCATGAGTGGGAGGGGCAGAAGAAGGAGGAGAGAGAATCTCAAGCCGACTCCATGCTGAGTGCAGAGCCAGATGCCCAGCTTGATCTCATGACCCTGAGATCATGACCTGAGCTGAAATCAAGAGTTGAACACTTAACTGACTGAGCCACCCAGGTGCCCTGGAAATAAAGAATTTCAACGAATAAAGTTTGAATCGCTGGGAAGAGGTGACCTTCGATGGTTAGAAAAGGGTGGTGGGCTCACCAGCAGGAGCAAAGGTACCTTGTGGGGAGGGTCCCATCTGATGGTAGAGGCAAGTGGGCCCCTCTTGGAGGCCTGAGAACCCCATGCCCAGTGTGGCTGTCCCTAGAGAGGCCCCCAACATCAGGTGACTCAGATTTATGGAGTCTCTGCTGTGTGCCAAGCTTGCTGGCCTCTCACATGGAGGTTGACATTCAGGCTAGTGAGATGGAGCCAAGTCAGAGGTCTCTGGACTTTGAAGGGGGGGGGCACCAGCCAGGAACCCCATCTCTGCAAGGACAGATGCACTGACCATGAGGCAGGGCACCTCCAAGAGCCCCAGTACTGGCTGCCCTCCCTTAAGTCCATGCCTGCCATCTCCAGGTAGGCCTTCAGGAGGAGCCCAAGCATACAAGCCCCCTGGAGCAGCACTTCTTGAGGGTTCCCTGGTCCCAGC